AAGCTGGAGCATGATCTACGCAAGTTGGGAATGTGTGACATTTACTCCCAACTTGAGGGGGAGTGTTGAGTGGGTCGGTTTGTTTTGTTGAGTGGCCCGGTTTGTCTTTAGTTTGTTTTTATTTAATTAGGAAGTTGTTGGGCCTTCAACCCATTAGTTTTTTATTTGTTAAAGTTGTGACTATTCAATTTTAGTAGCCGCCCTACTAAGGGCATCCTTGTAATATCTCATCTTTAAGTTAAATATAAATATAAATATAATGAGGGGCTGGCGGCTGGGGTTAACTTTTCTCATAACTCTAGTTGACCTACTCTTTTCTTCTTCTCCTTCCTTCTCTACTGCTGAAATCTTCACCTTCCCCTTCTTTCTCTCACAAGAAGCTTGACTGAATCAGCAAATAGTGATTTCTACTTTGCTCACTCTCAATAGTGTATCTTCATCTCCCAAAGTATACCCTAGATCCCCTGAAGAATACAGGAAAGTTGGGGAAAAAGCCAACAAACACTCCTATGGATATAAACCATAAGCTGGGAGATTGCTAGGACGAGCCTATAAAAGATGTAAAACAGTACCAAAGACTTGTTGGAAGACTTTAGTACTTATCTAAGACTCAGCCCAACATTGCTTATGCTATGGACGTCCTCAATCGGTTCATGCACACACCCAAGGCAGCTCACTTAGAGGCAGCAAAGATGGATGTTAGATATCTAAAGAAGTTCCCTAGGACGGGTCTCCTCTTTAAGAGGCATGGGCATATGAAAGTTGAAGTTTATATTGATATTGATTGGGTCGGTTTAGTGGACGACAAAAAATCCAACAAAGGCTATTGTACTTTTGTGGCAGGAAATCTTGTTACTTGTAGAAGTAAGAAACAAAGTGTTGATGGTCAGGTCTAGTGCAGAGGTAGAGTATAGGGCCATGTCCTATGGAATTGTAGAGCTTCTATGGATTAAGAACCTACTGGGTGAATCAGGGCTTACAATTGATGATCCTATGTCACTCCATCGTAACGATAAATCTTCCGTAAATATAGAAGCTAACCCTATCATTCATGATAAAACAAAGCACGTTGAGGTGGATAAACATTTTATTAGGGAGAAATTAGAGAAGGAATAAGTGTGCACTCCTTATGTCAGCTCTAAAGAGCAACTTGCAAATATTCTCACGAAAGGTCTTCATTACTTGTGGCATAATGAACTTTGTGACAAGTTGGGGATGATTGATATTTATGCTCCAACTTGAGGGGGGAGGGATGTAATGTTCAGTTATGTGCCACAAGGGCACTTCCATCATTTCATCATCATTTTTTATTATTTTTGTTGCTGTACTTGGCGCCACCAGCCTATTCTTTTTGTTTTCTCATTATTTTCTCTTCCTCCTCTCTTTTCTATTCTTTGTATCTCACAGCAAGTCTACATTTAAAAGGAATGTCCAAATTGATCACCCCATTGACCCTAGTAACCCTAAGCATATCACTACACTCACAATCCTAAACACTAGAAACAATCAACTTATTTTTTAAGTTTTTCCTCAAAATCCACATCAGCCTTTTACTCTATTACCACCAAATGCTCATAGAATTGTGAGACCACCATACCCCACATCAGGATTTGGGTTTTTATAAAAAAATCAGAACAAATTGTGAGATAAAAACTCATTAAATTTGTAAACTGATACTGATCATGGACCTTCAAAGATTAGAGACCTACACCAAACATACCTTAATGGCAGAGAAAAGTCGAGCTACCCCTGACTGTGTCCAATCTTTACCCACTAAAGGCATGAACTGGCCTAGGACATCTGATCTGAAAAACATGCATTGAAGTAAACAATTTAACTTCTATCTATATTAGAAAAGGAAGGACTCTCAAATTGTAAAATGTTTCAGCAATAGTTTATTCCCACAAAAAGAATATTACTATTTGCCAAAAATACCAATGTTTTCTTCAATATTAAAGAAGATAATAGATTAGTAACAGGATTCTTAATGATGACTCTTGGGGAGTCCTTTACAGTTCCAGTAATCTGTAACATTTCTAACTACAATGAGAACTTGGGTACTAAATAATCACCAGAGGATGATTAGCCATGAGCATTATTCTTAAAATGTATACAAGTACATCCGTCCCAACCAACACCTATGTACTTTCACATATAAATATGGCTACAGTTACAGAAACTAGGAGAAAAACTAGCATTCAAAATGTTTCTTGTTCAACTCATAGATATGGAAAACTAAGAAAAACTTAAGACATAAAATGATGTACAAATCACAATCGACATACGCTACGATGAATGACAACTAAAACCCATGCCATTTGTTCAGGGAATGGCAATGCTTTCAGGAATCCTATTTGCACAAAATTGCGGAAGCCACTTCAAAGTTCAAACATGCATCAAATGTGTCCTAAGAATGCTCAAGTTCCCATACCATACCAGTGACACATGACATACCTCACCTCAAATGTATCCTAAGAAAGCTCAAAGCCCCCAGAATATCTGGAAGTTAGGGGTGCAAGTTGGGTACCGGATTTGAAGAATTTACATAGCAATGGGCCTAGGCCCTTAGGCCAGGCCCATTCAAATTTTATAATATCCTCAATCTGAGCCCAGCCAAGTTGCACACCTACTGGAAATACAAAACCACATTCTAAGATTGTATGTGGTTTGAGTCGTTTGACCATAATGCGTGATATGAGCATCACATCATTACATGAACACCAAGTGACAATAGAGATCTTAAAATTTGAAATTTGATATAAGTGTAGGATTTCCCGATGTGGGGAAGTTACAAAGGCCAAGTATCTTCAACTCTTATATATGCTGATGTTATATACCAATTAGAAAACCTAAGACTGATGTATCAGGAATGGAAGATTTGCATGCTGCTCTAATTAGAGTTTGAACTACATTGTGGACGTTATAAGCTTTTAACTTAAGGCTGATAGACAACAATGGAGAACAAAAGGTTATTGCAGAAAATAATTAAGATAATTGCTGCATACAATTTCAAATTCTGAGTTAACTTCAAAAGTGCTCAAATAAAAGCAAAAAAATAGATGTGGTTAAAGAAGGAACATCAGAAAAAACAAGCATGGGCTTCAAGTCTATCAAACTCAATAGTAATCTATTAGATTCTCTATTGCCACAAAAAACCAGTGCTTCCAACCCGTCGTTGACCCGACCAGTTGAACCATTCAAACCATCACCCAGCCATGGGTCTAGGTCCGGTTCTACTATAACCCAGGAATTGGTCAAAACCATTGACCTGGTCAAAAAACGTCCAACCCGGGGCAGTTGGACCATTGACCCGTTTGACTTGGTGACCAGGTCACAGCCTCATGGGTTGCACGCTAAATGTGTATGCAAACTTCCAATTTCTGAAGGCCATAACTTTGCGCTCTGATGTCCAATTGGGGTATTTTTTATTTTTGGCTAACTTTTTGAGATCTATGTGTCCCAAGGTGTTGCATGTGCCTTGCCCCACTATTTTGGCCTCAAATTGCAAAGTTTAGAATTTTTTACAAATAAAAACTGAATTAAAATATAAATTAAATATAAAATATTCATATGTTACACGTAGACTATAATTATACATATTTATTGATAAAATATGTGTTTATACCTACACAATGAACGCTACCAGTACTATGTAGAGTCCAAGAGATAGAATTATAACATAAGTTGGTGACAATATTGTAGACATGTGAAGTAACAATGTTATTGTCCGCCTAATTAACATGATCGCCACTTTGAGCTAGCTTAATATTCATTTCATACATGAAGTTAAATATTAGTCTTTTGTTTTGTGTAATAGATTATCTGGTTGATCTATTACAACTATTTACATTTTCTATGAGTTAAAATTTTCCTTTTAACTCATTCTATCATGAAGCTCTAAATCTTAAGGTTTATGGGGCAACTTCAGAACGTATTCTTTTTCTATAACCTTAGTTTCTTAGCTTTGTTTAATGATTTGGAACAAGATAATAATTCAAAAAAAAAAGGTGTGCCTATGCTTTTTTGTCATTCATAAAATATCATACTATATTTTGCATATTTTACAATATTTCCACCATGTCTATAATTTTTATAATATTTCCATACGATATTTCCGACATGTTTTGTATATTTGGATGACCAATATTTCCACCGACATCAACATGTTAAACCTTACCTATGACCCAGAGGTAAAAATGGTTCATGCTATAGGTCGGTTTTTAAAATATTGCAAACAACACCCATAAGCCTAATCTGGGAAATCTGGGTTATGGATAACATAGAGTATAAATACTTCTAAAATACTCTTGATCTGTAGAGCTACTACAAACTGGTTTTTTATTATATTAACAAAATCAATCAAATATCAAGAAAGAGATGCATGCCTCATATTTTGGTAATATTAGTTTTGTCATCCATCAAAACACGCCAAAGATATAGTCCTGCTCTTAGATGTCTTATATACCTGTTAAATTTTCAATAAATTGCATCATCAACAAAAGTGCATAGATATAGATGTGAGTGTCTATTACAAATAACTCACATTTACTCTATTGTGAAATGTTAGTTTGGAATATTTTTCATTTAGCCATGAATTCGTACATCTAAAGTCCAAATCCATAAGTTAACTAGGTTCCTTCAACTGATGTGTTAATTTCATTGGCATCATTGTAGGGTGTTAAGACCTGTAAAAACAGCATTGTCTTCAAGCAGAAACATGTATCAGCACCTCAAAGCCTATAAAGACTTACTTGGTAATGGTCCCATCAACATCAGAAATAACTATTCGTGTGTTCCACTTCCACAGATAAATATGTGCATCAACCTATGGATGAAGTTAAAGAGTTAACAGATACCAAGCATAGTATATACCAACCCAACTAATTCATCATATTCAAATTACAAGAACCATGAAGTAGAGGTGAATGTAAGACCTGCTGGATGCCTAGAACCCTGGTACAGAAACTGAAGGTTACCACATTTTGACCTTCTTTCAGATTCAAAGAGGCAATCTGTTCAGTAGTAGGAACATTTGTCCTTAGTAGCTGCTTGTGAGGAGAATCGCTGCCACCACTGGATGTTTGACTAGGTTGTGCATGTGGGTTTCGCAACCCTGACTCTGAATCAACAAATACTTCCTCATTTGATGAGCTACTGCTAGCATGCTGAAGAGTTTTAACCCTTCTAAATGGAATTGGCCAGAGCCTCCACCTACGGCCAGAAGGGGAAGATGTTGTTTCAGGCGTCTCTTCTTTGGGTTTTGGTGTTTCCTGATCCACAGGAATTGTATCTTTGGGCTCAACCGGTAAATCTAAACCAAATGCAGCCATTCCAACAATCAGAGGAGCAGCTTTATCCCAAAGCAAATACTTCTGTTTAAATCTGATGACTAGGTTTTCATTCTTAATGATTGATGCTGAAGAAGATTTGAACTCCTCCTCAGATATGCAATGTGCATCAAAAGCTTCACCAGCAGGACCCAACCCCATACCAGCATGGAGTAAGTTACCACAAAGTGAAATCTCAAATCCTGCAAGCAATAAGCATGGATGAAACAGCATAAATATTGTGTCAGATCCAAGTGACAAAAGAGAAGTTTACCAATGTAGTGAAAAGTCATTTTTGGAGATCCTTACCCATGCCTGAGCCAGACCTTATCTGTACACCAGGTTCAGAGCTGTGTGTCTCTTTCTGAGGTTCTGCTACCTCGCTTTTACTGCATACTTCTCCACATTCAGGTCTTCCTGGACCACTTTGTATATTTTGAGCTTCTGCTGCCAAACCAAGTTGTTCATCCTCCCATCCTGGATTCTTATTTAAAGAATGAACAGACATGCCACCTGAATTCTCAATTTCCATGGAGTTGTCCTTGAAGTTCTTGATCTCAATGCTTAAATCATGAGAATTAATGTTGCAACGAGAATCTGAGCTAGGCGAAAGGAACTCTGCACCATTCTCAACTTTAAGATCACCTGTGCCTTCACTCAGCCCTTCTGCAGGTAGACTAAAAGGAGAATTCTCTTCTGAATCTTCACAGCCCTTCCTTCTCATCAATTTCATGCCTATAGAACCAGCATCCCGTGAATCTGCATCTTCGATGTGTAAGGTTAATTCTGAAAGCTCCAAGCAACTCCCAAAAATCTCTCTATTGATCCCACCAACTTCATCTCCTTCCACATTTTCAGTGTGGCAAGTCTCTTGAGTTCTGTTAACATATTCACCAGAAACTTCAAAAACTTCATTTAAATGCCCATGACCACTACTATTATCATAGACAGGGGGAAAGCCTGATGATGCAGTGATAGATTCAGATGCATCCGTATCACTTAAATAGTCAGCAGCCCATGCATCTTCACTGGTACCAATTTCCTCATTATCACCATTAAACTCTGATCCTTCCCCTGGACCAAGATGAAATTGAGGTGTACTCAATTGCACATCATCTGTGGCCTCTTCCGATGAGAAAGGTGCCGTCAGTACATGACCATCAACACTAACCAAGACCACTTCTGAATCAGAACCCTGAGATTCCACTACATCTTCCACGTGATCTAAGCTCTCATAGTGGTAACCTCTGTACCCTGATGATCCCACAGAACCCTCTCCAGGCAATCGCTGGTCTTGGGGTTCACAAGGCTGCTTCTCATCATCAGCTTCACCATTCTCAATTTGATTGATACTTAATGAAACAGATTCAACAGAAAATTGGACTTCCTCAGCATTGGATACAGTGCTCTTATTTCGAAAAATACAAAGATTGATTCTGTTATCGTCACTCACACTGCCACTGTCATTATTGTTGTTGTTGTTGTTATTGTTATTATTGGCATCATCTGGTGCAATTTCAGAAGCATCAGAATCCTTAAGAACCCCATCTATATTGCTATCTTTACCAGACACTACCTCTCTTATGAAATAAGCTTCACCTGAGTTGTCAAGGAACATATGGAAATCAGCCTCAACACCATTTACAGAGATGCGAACAACTTTCTCAGCACCTTTGAGGACACCCTGGAATTTGCCAAATCGTACATACCAGGGCGTGCTGCGATAGGTCCCATCCTGCTGCTCGACGACGATAACATCAACAGCACCACCGAAAGGATGGAATGGGGTAGCAACAGAGTAAACACCCTGTGATATGAGGCTCCCGACCTTACCGACCACATTCATCTTTCTCCGACTAACTACCAACCAAGAAAATAACTTGGGAACATATAATTATGAAAGCGTAAAAAATAATCCATGAATCTTAATCTTTCGTGTTAAAGCAGGCAAGTCCAGCAAATTAACATTAATTAATGTCTACTACAACCAGAGCGCTAGAAGCTCTTATCCGTTTTGTTTTCTCGAATACAATTCCAATTTCTTCCGAAGCATCTGCATTAGGTACGAACTTATTGTGAAAATCTACCAAAAAAAGAGAAAAGAAAAACATATTTCAGCAATCCTTGCAGGATGGTTAAATCCAAATACAAAAATTACGTATAGAGATTAACAGCGATAATTTGCGATTCAGAAAGGAACACTGATAAGTAAAAACCCTACATCATCGAGAACAAATTTATAGGAATTATAGAAAAGCGGAATCTAAAGTAAAACAATAAAGAACTGCAGAAAGGATGGAGATTAACATGGAGAAGCGAGCGGATTGAACTTATTAAAGATAAAAAAATAAATAAATAAATAAACAAAGAGACGAAAATCGAACCCTACAAGAAGACACGCTAAATCACTAACCTGACAACTGAAGACTGGGACGACTTTCGCTTTCTCTTCTTTTATTTGTTCTTTTATCTATATCTGGCACTACTCAACTCTCAGTCGTCAACAATGGGGGAATTTTTAGAGTTCAGAGCTGCATTGGATAATGATCAGAGTCAAAACAGCTGATGAAGGAGCTATAAATAGGTAAGCACAAAGCGAATATATTGAATGCCCCTGGTGTTTCAACATTATTACTGAAATACCTTTTTAAACTGGAATTTTTTGTGGAGAAAGTTGTTTGATCCATTGCTGGTTAATGAAACCACTTCTTTTGACAAATGATAATCTATGAAGAGCAAAGAAGTTTAAGAAGAGTAAAGAAGTCTGACAGTTGAAACAGGAGCAGAGAAGTCGTTTAGACGTTTATCAGATTTGTATAGGTATAACCCGCCAATAAGGGAGTGTTTGGTAAGGTAGTGTTACATTGCTGTTGCATTTTTTTTTTTTTTTGGTAGAAAAGAAGAATCATTTAAAGCCATAAACACAGGAAAAACAGACTTCTAACTAGCAAAGCAAAAACAAAGAAAAGAAACTACAAGCTACAGACTTCTAACTAGACCAAAAAAACTAAAATAAGCAAGACTGTTGCCATCTTATATACAAATGTCGCTTCAACTAGAAAAATGTATATTTTGTATTGTTCAACTTAAAATGTTTATAAAACATTTCAAAAAAACAAGATTTTCTTTCATAAGTTTGTATATTGATCAACCCAAAAGTCAATGGGTAAAGAACCACTACAGCACTAATGTAACAAACACCTCCTAGGTAATTAAGTTATTTTTCCTCAAAACTTTGATCCTTTTTATAAGTTATTATTACTATATTATGTTTTTTTTTATGATTTAAATCATAGAGAGATCCGAGGAATGAATAGAAAATTATTCTCTATTAAAGTGAACCATAAAAAACCTGCAGATGCTAGTGCATCTCTCCTAAATCGGATTTTTTGAGATCTAGGGGTTTAAGGCTTATTTCGTTTTGACCATGAATATGGAGTAAGGAGATAGACTTTAGGCTCATCAGAAAATTAATTTTAATGAATTTTGTAATTTTAAGAATCACTTCTAAATTTGGATTTATGAAAATAGTTGGAATTTATAATTTTTTCAAGCTCAAAACTTATTCTGAGAAGGGCATAAATTACAGATGGCCATTAGATTCCATAACTTTTGACTTTGACTTGTGAGAAGGAGTTGACAATGAAAGTAAAATTACTAAGGTGGTGTCGGGTAATATTGTGAATCCACAAATAGTGGGTTTCAAAACACACCACACCACTTTAATGCATTCTGATATGGTGTCGTGTGGTTTAAAACCTGTGGAATATACGACACCCCAATATATCGGTATACCATTATCTCATGGTCACAATCACACCATAGGCCCCTCTCCCTATAGTACTTTGTATGTATATTAATTCATACACCATTTTTTAATTACTTGTCTTATATGTAATTAATGATATTCATCTTCTCATTACAATTGTTATTAAGTATAAATTTTACTTTTCTACTAGCGGGGACGATGTATTGGAAAATCTGAAATATTTAATAATTTTATTTACTATTAATTAATATTAAATTAATAATTAAAATTTGTTGTCGATTAACTAAAAGTATTCAAAGTATATTTTTTAACAAATTTAGTTTTATTAATAATTTATAGTAATTTTAATAATTGTTATTATTTTATTATTTTTAAATGAAATTTTGATTAACTTTAAATAAATAAAAATAATTACAAAATTAACATTTTTATTAATTTCACTAATAACTAACAATTATATAGGAATGACAATTGGGGTGGGTTTAGGGCGGGGCACCCCATCCCTGTCCCTGCCCCATAGTCTAGACACTCTACCCCATCCCCGCCCTGTCCCCTGTGTTAGGCGGGTTCAAGGCAAGGCAACAATGCCTCAATGTCGGGCGAGTTCAGGGGCAAGGCACCCCACTCCTCATCAAGGATGGGGAATCCTCAAATTTCCCGCCCTATCCCCAGTATTGGGCAGGTTCAAGTAGAGATATAAATCAGGTCGTGCTGGGTCGAGCCTCGGGCCAGGTCAGGCCACGGAACAGGCTAAGTTGTGAGAGGTCCATTTAAAAAAAATGAAAAAAAATGTTTAAATTTTTATTTCATATTATTTTTTTATGTATACAATTGTTTATATATACAGTTAGACTTATTCATGGGCCAGGTAGCCTAACAGCTCGGCCTAGCCCAACCCATTATTTTTCAGGCTTTGACAAAATTCTAGGCTCATGGGCTTTCTCAAATAAGCCTAGCCCGATACTATTACATATATAAAAAAGTACTTATGTTATATATAATAAATATATATATGCTTCTTAAATTATTAATAAATATCAATTTACTATTAGGAAATATAAATCAGTTTATTAATTTATTAAATTATTACTAAATTAATATAATATTAGTTTATAAAAGTATACTGAAAATAAGACATTTTGTGTACAAATCAGGCTTCGGGCTCAAGCTCGAGCTTTGGGCTTTATATAAGGGCTGGGCTCGAGCTCAAGATCTAGGTCCAATGGTCAGGCCGGGATCAGGCTCGAGCATGCACATTTTTTGTTGATAAAGAGGCTCGTGATAATTATAAAACTATGATTTTTTACAACTTAAATTTTTTATTTAATTCTACTATAGTATAAAAAAATAAACACCAACTCTCTCTCTCTCTCTCTCTCTATATATATATATATATAAATTGTTATTTAAATATTATATAATAATATTTACCATATATGCATATAACTTCCAAGTTGAGATTATTAGGGGTTGTTTAGCTTGGGCCCTATCCACTAAAACCATCATTGGACTCCAAAAGTTTGATATCCAATAAGACTTCAGATTTGATTATCCCTGATAATGTGTGGGCATGGTGCATATCTCAACTAAATTTAACTCAAAAGAAAATAGTTTCTTGAGCCTGCAAATTTATAGATCTAATCGGGTTAGGTTAAGTTATAAACGATTTGTTACTTTTTATTATTAATTATTAAAATATTATAATTATTAAATTAATGTATTTATTTAAAATACAGTAATTTCTATAAATTATTATTTTTTCATAAATATTGCTAGTTTCTTGGCTAAAATTAATTAAGTGTAATTTTCTGGTAATTAAATGTAATTTTCTACTATTTATAGCTTAAATAATAAATATTGTTAATTACGGTTTAAAAATAATTATTGTTAATTATATTCCATTAATAATTAAAATACATTATTATTCAGTATTTTTTCAATAAAATACAATTAATTTAATTTTTAATTATTTTTAGTATTTTAATTAAGCTTTAGGTTTTTTAGAATTTTTGGATTTTTAATTAATTTTTGGTGTTTTTTCATTATTACTTAGTATTTTTTTGCATATGAGTATTTTTCAATTATTTTCAGTATTTTCGTCATTTATTTTTGTGTATTAGTCACTACAAAATTAATTTGCAATTGCTTTCAATAAAAAATAAATTAAATAAGTAAATAAATACCATAGTTAATAAAAAGGTAGCTATTTTTCAATAACATATGGCTTGGGTATTTTTAATAATTTTTTGTTATTTTTAATAATAAAATACTATTAATTGTACTTTTATTTTTTGTAAATACCCTTATTAATATAAAATATTGTTAATTTTCAATATTTTTAATTATTTTTAGTATTTTAATTATGTTTAGGTTTTTCATATTTTTTCAGATTTTTAATTAATTGTTGGTATTTAGAACTGATGAGGGTGGATTTGGCCCTCCAGTGAAATTGTGACACCTGGCACCTCATGCAAACCAAGTGCGGCCTCTTGACGACTGGGCAGCTCGGTACAACTCGGGCAGCTCGGCATAGGCAGTTCGGTACAGCTCGGGTAGCTCGGCACCTTACAGGCAGCTCGCCACAGGCAGTTGGCCACTCCGCAGGTAGCCTGGCGTCTTACGAAGAGCTCGCCACTTAGAGGCAGCTTGGCACTTACAGGCAGCTCGGTGTATCGCAGGAAGATCTCCTGCCTGACAACTGTACCTGACAGATCCAAAGACCTGCACCCACGTCTTTCACTAGGCGGCGCCGTGCCTGCCAATCCTGAGAGCTGTCCCTTGACTAGCAGAGCCGTACTTTGCTCAGCTCTGGCAGTAACGGCTACGGCAGAGAGACAGAGGCGGTTACGCCTAACTTGACAGAGGCTGTTACGCCTGATTTGACAGGACACCACTATATAAGGACTCTGACCCCCAAAGATAAGGGGGAGAGAATGAAAAAATGGAGGTAATCCTTGCTCTCTAGCTCTCTCATTTCTCTCCAAGCTCCCTACAATCAGAATGCTAACTTAGGCATCGAAAAGTCCCTGCCGGGAAAATACCCCTGGATCCTCTGATTCAGTTCTCGCAGGTCCCTCAGCTCCTGCCGCTTACAAAGGAGAGGAGATCACCTCATGCAGAGGGCAGTCGGGTTGCGCTACACCAGGGAGCTCCACCATCCCCTGAGTTACAGGCCGCCTAGGAGCAGGTCAAATGACGAGTCCACCAAGGTAGTTCACCATCAGGGAGCTCGTCACCAAGTAGCTCTCCACCAGGGAGCTTGTCACCAGGTAGCTCTCCACCAGGGAGCTCGTCACCAGGTAGCTCACCACCAGGGAGTTCGCCACTAAGTAGCTCATCACCAGACAGTTTGCCACTAGGGAGCTCCACCATACTCTGAGTCACAGGCCACCTGGGAGCAGGTCAAGTGATAAGGTACTTAGCCAAAAAATTGGTACATCTGAAAAAATTGGTACGTGACCAAAAACGGTTACATCAAGAACTATCAATTAATATTTTTTGTTAGCATTTATTAAGGTCTCAACTCATAAGTTATCTAATAATATTATTAAAACTATCAATTAATATTTTAATATTTAAATTTATTTTTGTTAACATTTTTTAAGTTGGATTTTTAAATGGAATTAGGACTCATTTTTAATATTTACTAACTTTTGTTAATATTTATTTTTAGTGGAACTTTAGTGGATTTTTAAATTAATAATTTTTTGATTGTTTAACCTGAACCTATTTATATTATTTGATTTATATAATGGTTTCAAAACCAGACCGGATCGGAAAAACCAGGAATTGGTCAGGTGACAGATTCCGTTTCACCCTAGAACCATTATTTTTCCAAAAAATCGTTGATTGAGTCAGCAAATGGCTAATCCGGAAGGTTAAACTGTTTGAACTGTCCAACAATTTTGGCCGTTTTTATTCTTTTTAAAATTTTCTATCATAATGGGCCGTCCATTCAGTTTGAATAGTCAGACCATTCGACCCAGGAATCGGACCTCTAATTGGTTTGTTGTCCGATTCAATTTTAAAAACCTTGATTTATATTATAACTATTCTCTATCTTTCTCTCTTAAATGTAATAATAACATGCATTAAGATATGAGACCTTTGAAAACCTAATGGTCTTTCTCTCTCTTAAATGTCATTTCTAAATGTAACTGTAACATGTATTAAAATAAGAGGCTTTGGAAAACACAAAGGTATCTCTCTAATAGTGTTCAACTTTATGAATCTAATCAAGATAAACAATGATTATTGTTTTATATTTTTAAAACAAAATAAAATAAGAAAAAAATGGAGAAAATAGATAAATAGCTTATCTAAAATGAGAGACATGCTAACATGGACCGTCCAATTTTAATATATCTATATATATGTGTGTTTTTGCTAATTTTAGTAATTCTAAATTATTTTTTTTATTAATTACTTATTATGAACATTAGTTATCTTATGTGTGCATTTTGTATTTTTATATTACTTTTAATTTTTTAGTCATTATTAATTTTTTGAATTCATCAATTAATTTTTTATTAATTTGTATTAGCTATGATTAAATTAATCACATGTTAAATTAATTTGTATTTTACTTAAAAAACAAAAGAAAAAAATTATTACTCTTGATCGACGTTGTAGATTACCACACATTGTGTATTCAAGATACATAGAATCAAAACGTAGGGTGTGGCTTGAACCACACCACACCCTACAAAACACCTATATGGGTGTGGTGTGGTTCAGGCTACTTATTTTTATCCACAATGCAGAAAACTATTATATTGTGGCATGGTGTGTGGTGTAGTTGAGAATACACCACTCAATTTCTCATCCACACTACATAATACCTCATGAATTTCCCATTTGAGATTCTATAGGTTTACCACAACAAAAAACGAAATGATGAAAACAACAAATCTAAAAACATCATTCTCAATGTATTGATGAACCGATCATTCTCAAAACATTATGAAATGAACTGTGTTGAATTAAAAGTTGAGAGAAACATGCAATATTTAGAATTTTTGGAAGACCAAAGGGGCATTCTACAATATGAATTGTTTTATTGTTGTTTATTCCAAAAACAAATCAAAACCATTTTGTTTGAAAACAAATTATTTCTTAAAACAAAAACACATGAAACATGTTATTGGTTGTGTACGTGTTTTTTGTTTTCAAAGCTGAATCCAAAAACATGTTTTCATTTTATTATTCAATATTATGTTCCATATGTCATATAATTTCTATACTAGGAAATCTGTTTTTTGTTTTAAAAACCAATATTTTGTTGGTTCTAAAAGCATGCATTCTTTTTTGAAACAAAACCATGCAATTTATCTTTTTATTCCCTTTGAAAACAAAAAACAGAGTTCAAGACATGTTTCTGTGGCTAATGTGGCGATTCCAAAAACAGATGAAAACAACAGCATTCATGTTGTAGATTGCCCACAAAGTCTTGGGATCTAGAAGTTAAAGGGAAAGGAAGTTAGAGGGGGGGGGGGGGGGGGTAGTATCACTGCCCCAAGTATAAGGGTGAATATTTGTAATTTACCCTTCTAAGAATTGATTATTTAAAGCTGTAAAAAAGTATTTTTTTTCAATAAAAAATCAATCTGGCTCAAAACTCAATATTCAAATAATAATGATTCTTTGGATCATATTTTTAACAAAGCACAAATCCTTATTTAGAAAAGCTTAATAAGTGATTTTTTCAGCAATCTGCACTCATTGAATGACAAAATAATATGAAAATTGGAAATATGCTCTTTCAAAAGGAAAAAATATGTTTGCTTATAAAGATTTTCCTTAAGTTTTTCATGTAATTCATGAGGCACCAATCTATGGTGCATGTACATTTTTTAGTGAGACTTGCAAGGTGCCAAGTGTTTAGTTGATAAGGTCTGGTCTTTTGTTCGTTGTAGTGGAGACTTCAAATTGAATCCTTCATACACCAGAGCCTAGACCACCTGCATTCCAACAAAATACATTCCATAATGGATCCTAGTCTCATAGTGAGATATCTCACGCGGTTTTTAGATCGAGTTGGTAGGGGGGTGGGGGGTTTAGAAAGTTGGCAGGAGATCCTAACTCCTTACATCAGATTGGGGAATGAGCTACCCCTCCCCTGGTAAAAAAAAAGGAAAAAAATATTTGAAAAGTATTAGTTGCTGGGTTACATCACCGATGGCCCATTAGTTGAGATGGCCACCTGGCATCTCTCCAAAAGAAAACGTGCAAAATCAATCTATGTACTCTCTGATATGTTTTGTGGGCCTAACATGCACCGTGATTTGTCCCCATAACCCTCCTCAAGTTTTCTTTATACCAAGAATTTATCAATTGAGCCACCATGGATTGGTAAAACAAAATATTTGTTATTGGTCACGTTTAGACATATTTGCAATGCAAATTAGGTTAACAATCAAATCATGGGTAATTATACTATGGTAGATTGACGGAAAAAGGTATGAATAGTCTGATCAATAGAATTTTAGAAGATTAGTATGCGTTTTCTTAATGGGTTATTCAATGGGAATTGGGATCTGCTCTCAAGTCTCAACAAAACCTGTCTCGGCATGCTTTTTATAGGATTTGTATTCGTAGATTGCGTGTATTTGGAATCATGGGAGTTTATTGAATAAAGGTTGTTACATAGGTGTCAATTTAACATTTTTCCCATTATGTGAATCTGTATGCTTAAGGATTTTGTAAAAGTAGATTTCGATTTATATGAACTATATCATTAGGAGAAGCTTCATTTTAGCGTTTCTCTCAATGAATAGACATTTATTCATTATTTTGTTGATGTAACGCCTATGTGTCAATAAACAAGTTTATCATTGTTTTTTTTTTAATTTTCTAAACAAATAAAATACAAAAATGTTTAGTTAATAAACGTCCAAATAACTCCATCTCACCATAAGACTGAGACCCACCATGTCTGCATCTGAAAATGTGTAGAAGATATAAATCAAGCTGAACGTATTGAAAGCATTTATTTGTTTGGAGGAGATTTGGTCTCATACAACAGAGGACGTGAGTTAGACTTCAGTCAGTGCAAACCCTTGCTCACACCATTTGAATAACCTCTTACAATCTTGCATTGGGAACGTTTTCCCATAAAATAAAATACAAAGCTGTAAAGACTATTGGAAGCCAAACTCAGAGGAAATTCATCCCCCATACATCAAAATCTGATCCCCACACCTGGAGGTGTTCTCCATGCCAACTCCACAATACATTCCTATGAATTACAAGAATCCAGATCTGCTTTTCACATCGACCTCCATCCACACATATGGAATATCTTGCATACTTCTATGTTATTATTTATAAGAGATAGTTTCTAATACATGGTGGAACGTGGATATGAGGTCGGTGTGAGGAGCCTTAAAAAAGATAATCAGATTTTGATCCTCACAATACAGCCTTTCAGTTTACACCACTGTTTTCAAAATCAGATTGGACCGGATGGTTGGACCAGAAAAATGGGAATGACCGGTTCTATTTTCCTTCAAAATTGTTTTTTTCTTCAAAATCGTTGATTTTGGTCAGTAAATCGCTGAACCGTTTGAACGATTTTGACCATTTTTCAATTTTTTGTTTTTTTTTTTTAATTTTTTTGTCAGAATGGACTGACCGTTCTGTTCAAACCGATAATCGGACCCCTGACCGGCTCGATCACCGGTTCGTTTTTAAAAACCATGATTTGCACCATCCTAATCTCCTAACATACAAGGACTAAAATATTCCTAACACGGTGTGAGGATAGTTATATGAGTACCAAATCCGAACTCAGCGAAAGGGTGTCAACCAGCTTGTTCACGATACTAGCAACTAGCAAGGGTAGGATCAAATCCCGTTTTCTTCCGGTGACCCCGAATACCCGAATGTGCTACAAACAAAAATATGTAATATGGATTACAACCCCATTGAAACCGTAAACTATTATCAAATGACGTGTTTAATTCTGATTGAATTTGATATCAATCGATGTGTTTAAATGTGATTGAATTGTTTTATCAACTGGCGCGTGTTTATAACAAATTTGTAGGGGTGGCTGGGACAGACCCCGTTTATCAATTTTCAAAACATGAAAATAAAAAGAAAAGGCCTCCACCCTGCACCATAAGCAAAAGCCGACCCGAATAAATATCTGACGAGTCCGAATCTCCTAGCCCAAAAAAAATTGTATACACACATTTACAGCCGCACGCTAGGAACATCTCGTATACATTAAATGAGGAGATGTTCTATGTGCGGCTGTGGCGGGATGTGGCCAGCGTTTAGTGGTCAGCAGATCAGATTCGCGCTCATCTGACCCAACCAAAATTAGTCATACCAAACGCGTCCAAATATGGGGCGCATTGACATCCCTGCAAGAAAAAGATGTGTTACTTCGGTAAACAGTAAACAATACATGAACCTTCCGTTTGTTCACTCCGCTGCCGTGTCACCCTTCCTTCTCGTTGGCGCAGCAAGCCAGCAACGAAGGAAACTGAACACTGCAACCGGCACCACCGCCATTGCCAGCACCGTCACCAGACCCGGTGCCACGGGATCGGCACTAACACGGGGTGGTAGGAAATTGAGGACTCAAACTCTGTCTTTCCTTCTGCAACTTTAGCATCATGGGAAGAAATATTCTCCCAGTCCTCTTCATTGCGTTCCTATCTCTCCTTCCTTTCTCCTCTGCAGAGATAACAAACTTACAGATCTACGCGGACTCACGCTCCATGATCCTCTTCGAGAAATTCGGCTTCACCCACACCGGTCACGTTACCGTGGAGGTCAACGATGTATCCTACACCTCTTCTCTGTCCCAACCCGACCCCTCTCGGTTCGGCTTCTTCCTCCTCTCGGAGGAGGCCCTCATTCAGGTCCTCATAGAAGCCGAGCAGAACCCTAATTTTTGCGTCCTTGACAGCCACTACATTATCTCCCTCTTCACATTCAAAGACCTCTTCACACCCCAGCGCACCTCCTTCAACAATTCGTACAACATCACCGACCCCAATGAATACAGTCTCTTCTTCGCTAACTGCGCACCACAGAGTCAGGTCACCATGACAGTTCGTACTGAGATCTACAACCTTGACAACGGCGTCAAAGACTATCTCCCCGCAGGTCAGACCCAGCTCCCCATGCTCTATTTCTTCTTCTTCCTGTCCTACTTAGCCTTCTTAGTGTTTTGGATTTACATTTGCTACACGAACAAGCTCTCAGTCCACCGGATCCATCTCTTGATGGCCGCCTTGCTCCTTATTAAGGCCTTGAATTTGATCTGCGCCGCTGTGGATAAGCACTATGTCAAGATCAGTGGTACCCCCCACGGTTGGGATGTTCTGTTTTATTTGTTCCAGTTTCTCAGGGTTGTGTTGCTTTTCACTGTCATCATCTTGATTGGTACGGGGTGGTCATTCTTGAAGCCGTTCTTACAAGAAAGGGAGAAGAAGGTTTTGATGATTGTGATCCCACTTCAGGTTCTTGCAAATTTGGCTTCTGTTGTGATTGGGGAGACGGGTCCGTTCATTAAGGATTGGGTAACTTGGAATCAGGTGTTCTTGTTGGTTGATATCATCTGTTGTTGCGCCATTATCTTCCCAATTGTGTGGTCGATCAGGTCATTGAGGGAGACATCCAAGACTGATGGCAAGGCTGCAAGGAATTTGGCCAAGTTGACTCTTTTCCGGAAATTTTACGTCCTTGTAATTGGATACTTGTATTTTACGAGAATTGTGGTGTTTGCTCTCAGAACGATATCTGCTTACAAGTATCAGTGGGTGAGTAATGCGGCTGAAGAGACTGCAAGCCTTGTTTTTTATTTGGTAATGTTTTATATGTTTCGACCGGTTGAGAGAAATGAGTACTTTGTTCTCGATGAGGAGGAAGAAGAGGCCGCACAGGCAGCTCTTATGGACCAAGAATTTGAGCTTTGAACAAGGTTTTGGAGACGAATTCATTTATCCGCCTTTTGCCTTTTACTCTGACTGTAACATTTTGAGAATTGGTTGCATATTGTGGGTGGATTTGTTGGTGTAGTGTGCCACTGCCCCAATCCCATTTACGTCTCCTTTTCCTGTAATAAGAACAATACCTTTTCAAGTTTTGTGTCCTGGATTGTGGCTATAGGAATTACGGATATGTCATATGTCATTGTACAATTCTCTCTCCTCCTGAAATACAAAGTAAGTCTCGCATTTCACTTTTGCTTAGATTCTCATTTTCCAAACATCTGGGTTGTGTTCTGATTGAAGAACTATTGTCTCTAAAACCATGGTTCAGGTTTTCCATTGCTTCCAATGGGGTATCAGCTGATCTCTTGTTAACATTTAATCATAACCATATATGATAAAGTGAAATAAAGTTTCAAAGGGGTTTTCTCTGGAAATATCACTACGACTATAACATTGTTTATTTTTTGTTTCAATTTTTCTGTCCTTCCCTTCAGCTTTTAGAAATATTTGTCAACTTTTGTGCAGTAACTGATTTCTAGTGATTTACTGAGACCATTTTGGAATTCTTTTACTTGTTCATTGCATGTAATATTATGATGCAGGAGCTGAAGAGTCAAAATTGGAATTTTATGATATTTTATGTATTTTTGCATTTTTGAACAATAGGGGTATTTTTGTCATTTTGAAATTTATGTGGGGTCCAGTGATAGGGTTTAATTTGTCTAGTTATATTTTGCTTTTGTTTAAAATTTCAGAATCATTGCACAAGTAGGATTAGAGTTATTGAGTCTTCTTTGAATTGAAATAGGATATGACAGCTTAGTTTGAGTCCTATTAGGATTATCACAGTTTGACTCCTAGGGTTATTATGAGTTTAGAGTCTATAAATATGTATGGGCGTTTTACACAAAGGCAATGAATTATATTGAGTTTTCTTCAGCTTATGCTAGCTATGGTGAGTGATCCCCATGCTCTAGAGTGATTCTAGGTACCCTTTATTCCAGGTATTTTCTCTCTTATTCTCTCTATATTTTCTCTCTTATTCCTTCAAGAAACCATTACAGCCATCAAAGGCCATAAAATTCTGATCCAAGAAGACCATTCACATTCTCCAAGGACTAGAACTGAGCTGGTCCTACATCATATTATGTGGATTATATTTAAAAAAGGGCAGCCCAGTGCATGAGGCTCCCGCCAAGGTGGGGTCTGGGGAGGGATAGATGTATGCAGCCTTACCCTTGCACATACAGAGAGGTTGTTTCCAAGATTTGAAAATATCCTGATTATGGTGATGAATTCTTCTGAAAGGTTAAATGAAACTATACTGTTCAAATAAGAAAGTTTGCGTCTATGACACATGGAATTTTATTAGTGCAAGTTTTAAGCAGTTTAATACATACTATTATATGTGGATCTTAGAATCGAATTATAGTTTTTATAGGAGAGGTTAGGTGTATTTAGGCACTTGATCTTGGTAATTCAATTATGACCATTTCAGTAGAGTTAGGAACTCCTATAGGAATTTCTGTACCAATGGTAAAATTGTTCTTTTTCTGTATATATTGTCTAACATGGTTAATTAATTATTTACTGGCACAAATCGCATACTGTGTAGACCTAGGTGATGCTGCAAAGGAATGATTTGGTTGATTTTATTCATGTGTTTGGTCTTAAATTTTCTTTAGAAGCATTTCTGGAAATATCATCAATTAATGAAGGTTTGGTTGATTTTTTTTCATATAATCGATCAGTAAGGTTCTTGATCTACATGGTGCTTGTTCTTATCATGGTTTGAATTTTCTTTCTTTTTTTGGGGGTGGGAGTTGGCTGGCTAGGTGTTATTTGGAAGAAAGAAACTGGCAGATTTCATTTATTTATTTTTATTTTCATTTTTTTTTGGAACTAACCTTGCCAAGTATGTCATTATAGATAAAGTTCTACTTCTAGAGCAGCTATTTCTTTCTTTTGTTTGTTCATCTCTGTTTTCATGCTTTTTCCTGCCCTTTGCTTCTAGATCCAGAGATTAAAGAGGTTTTTTTGCCTTTATTTTGTTTTAGTTCTGGAGGGATTCTATATCCATATGTAGGTTATACCCCTTTTCTTCTTTAATAATACAATACTATATATAAGGTACAGAAGAAAGTCTATGCATGAGCAGGAGTAGGAGAAATTAATTTGTAGAGGATCTTATAGATAGTTCTTGAGTAATCCTTGTAAAAAACTTGTAACATGTTGGATCTAATATAAATTGTGAAGTACTATTTTAAGTTTGACAATTTGTTATCTTCATTATAGAGTGAATCTTATATGTGGCATGGATATGATGCTTCTCTAAATGGACTTGACAAGCTTAAAAGGGAACATGGATTGTAGTCTGTAGAATATGGGTTAGGTGTGAACAACAGCTTCAATTTGATCAGTCAATAAAAAGATGGCTGGATAGTAGATACATGACTTAAAGATGGCAATTGAAGCTATGTGTGATTAATTGTAGTTATACACTTGTAAATCAAAACTTTTAACCTGCAGTCGAGCAATTGTTTTATGAGGGAACTGTTTGCTAATATTAAATCTCTATCAGGTCTGAAGACTCTGAACCCTGTAATAGGATGCAACTTGGGTAGGGTTGGGTTGGGAATTTGTTAACATTTCAATGGGCCTGAATCCTAACCCTGAGCCCTATGTAGTTGAGATTCTTCAAATCGGGCTACCTGACTCTGACTTGCAGCCCTATCTGCTAGTATTTATATCTGGGGAGGACATCCTGAACCAGAGAATCTATTGGAGCTTTTGAGGCTTTCCCCTCCTTACAGGGATAATGGTATGGAATTTTATTATGTAGCAAAAAGGTGGTTTACACATGAGAGGATGTACAAAAGGCGTATAAGTCAAATGGATAGCTTCCAACTCCTCCATTACAAAAAAGCAATCAAGCATAGGTCTGTCACTATACAAAAGAACCCTGTCAATCTTAGATTTAGCAAGATCATCAACCACACCACACCACACCAAGTTCTCTGGAATCTACCAGATTTGCACCCTCTTTGGTTTGATTTCAGTATTGTGCCAGACAGAAGGGCCACTACCCAGCATACCCTATCTGAAACATCTTCTGAAGACCTCATCTATAAACTAGGCTCATCCAGGCTTGCCTGGCAAGAAGAGCCAGCCCCAAATGTAACGTGAGAAGCCTCATATTTCTGCTGGAGCCTCTAGGGCTTGCTTCTCATTCTGAATTTTTACCAGAGAATTTGCATGTATTGCTTTTGCGTGCTGTTTTATATTGTTGATGCTGATATTTATGGATTATTCATGAGAAGGCTGTTATTTCAATGTGAATGTACGATTTTGCAGATAGAGAGTTTGTTTATTATCCACAATGATAAAAGTGGCATTAGACTACATTCACATAACTATTACAGTGGAATCTGGTTATGGGATCATGCGAACTGATAACAAACACGGTGGAAGATGATATTCCACTTTTGTCATTTATAGTTGGCAAGCCTCGCAAAAGCATGGCTCTATGGGTTAAATTGAGTGTCTAGCAGGAAAGAAATAAAAAAAAAAGGGTTAACTTGAGAAGCTCTATTAAGGCAAGAATCAGTAGAGATTGCCTAATAGGAAAGAAGAAGGGAGATAGAGCGTTAAGATCATCATTTATCACCTGCCATAACAAGCAATTTTTTGTTAGGAGATAGAACCATGGAATTTTTTAATGATACCTCATAATCAAGTCCTGTCAATATTGCTCCAGATTCCACAATAACTCTGAAGTTTTGCATGCCTGGGTGATGGTGAAAGTGTAGGTGACCCCTACTTGTGAAGGAAACTCTCTAGCTGGTTGTAGTGGAGACTTAGGAATTATAATATATTTCAACCTTCACTTGGGTTGGTGGAGGCTATGGGCATATGGGGGATACCTTTTGACAAAAACTGCTATGCAGAAAATTTATAAACTATATTTTGGGGTTACATTCTTCTGTGTAGAGTAACAAGAATTGAATGCCCAGAGTTCCTTTCCTGGAAAAGCCTGAAAAATTCTGATCCCCCGTGTGCCTCTTAGGGGACCTTCTGTCAAATATAAATGGTGGTGCTTCTGCTTCAAGTATAAATATGAAATGCATGCTTTCTCCGTTCAGAAAACGGAATCTACTCGTGCGAGTAGATTTTGCCTCTCATGTGCAGATGTTTTGGTTCACGTGTAAACAAATCTGTTTGTTCGACCAAGGGTTTGGTTCATGAGCATACAGACCTTCGATTCAGGAGAGTTTCGAGGGAAGAACAGGAGAACGACAAGCGTCGAGGAAGAAATCCAACGGCGAGCTTCGAGGAAGAAATTGAGGAAGAAATCCGATCCGGCGACCTCGGATGGTTCTGTTTCAGCTGTTCCTCCCGTAGAAAACCCTACTGCTCTTTGATTTGCTGTTACTGCAACCCCTGTAAGGTTTCTAAGAAATCCAATCCGGCGACCTCGGATGGCTCTGTTTCAGCTGTTCCTCCCGTAGAAAACCCTACTGCTCTTTGATTCGCTGTTACTGCAACCCCTGCAAGGTTTCTGGAGACGGATCCGTTCCCTTCCAAGGTATGTGGCTTTAACTTTTTCTTTCATTGCATTCGTTTTGATTTTTCCTCGTTCTTCAAAATCTAGGGTTTTTCAACCTCAGTGTTCTATTGTATTTGTTCTCATTGTTTTCTCTTTCCCGGTTCTCGTTGTAAACCCTACTTTCCGTACCTTTTATTTTGCTTTTTGTCTTCGTTTCACTTCCTTTAATTGGTTGTTCTTTATTTTTGTTCGTATTTTTTTCCTACTATAAATATGTTTATCTTAGCCTAATCAAATGCATGTTCTGTTGTATTTGTTCTCATTGTTTTCTCTTTCCCGGTTCTCGTTGTAACTAATTTTCTCATCTTCTGTTCTCAGAAACCCTACTTTCCGTACCTTTTATTTTGGGTTTTGTCTTCGTTTCACTTCCTTTAATCAGTTGTTCTTTATTTTTGTTCGTATTTTTTGCCTACTATAAATATATTTATCTTAGCCTAATCAAATGCATTGGTAAAACACACGACACTTATTCTCTTAGTGGTAATTGTGATGATTTTTGAGCCCAAAGGGGTAATACCTCAACCTGGTTTTACCATTATGCTTATCGAGCCTAGGTTTTCTTCATTGTTATTTTGAATCAGAGAGACGTATTATCCAGAAGCTATATGTTAATCCGTTGCTTGTTGCTTCTAATAAGTTTCCCTTTTATTGGTTGCAGGGACTGGTGCTACAGATTTACAATATATTTTACAAGCATGTCTTTGGAGTTGACGTCTTCCAAAAGACCATTGGATTGCAACCCTTTGGAGCCTAACGGAAAGGGTCTTCAACCGCAGCACCAATTACTGAAAATACCCCCTGGTACTACTGTTTTTCGTGTGCTATGTCCTGCTTCCAAGACTGCTGGTGTGATCGGCAAAGGTGGTACCGTCGTATTTGCAAATACGCCAGGAAACTGGAGCAAAGGTTAGAATTGAGGAAATTGTTCCTGGGTGTGATGAAAGAGTGATTGTTATTTCAGAACCCGATAAAGAAACAGAAGCTGGTAATGAGCAGAGCAAAGTAGATGGTGGTGAAGAGAACAATGAGGCTGACGAGAGTGATGATACAAGGAACAAGATGATAACAATGAAGATAAAGAATCTGCTCCAGGGGAAGACTTACAATCTGATAAAACAAATTCTGCTATGCAAAAGGCCCTCTTTCTCGTTTTTGAAGGAATGTTTGAAGGAGAACCTGGGACTGATGGAGGTGATGAGGAAAGTAAGAAGTTTTCGTCAGTTGTTGTGAGGTTACTTGTGCTCTCTAGCCAAGTTGGGTGTCTACTGGGAAAAGGTGGAAGTGTCGTCAAGCAAATGTCAGCAGAAAGTGGGGCGCAGATCCGGATTCTTCCTAGAGACAAACTTCCTTCATGTGCAACCCCCCCTTTGATGAATTTGTCCAGGTAACAGGCAACTCATTTAGTTATATCTGTCTTTATCTTCTTTCTTCTGCTCTTTGGTTTCGTAGAATGATACTGGTATCACAGGTTTTATCTTTGCTCATATAATCACAATTGTAAGAACATAAACTGTTTTTATTTTTTATTTTTTTGGTGCTAATATGGGGAGGGTTATACAGTGTCATGTCTTGTCCTTTTTGTGGTTTAAGGGTTCTGTGATGAACAAGCTCTTGAGTTAAGGATTCACCTTTATCCTATTTACTACAGCATATGTTGTTCCTATACCTTTGAAATTTGTGGAATTCATGTATTTTTCAATTCTTCTCCTACCTTTTCAATTGAGGATTGTTGAAGTTTGACCTGCCATAGAATTCTGTCTTGTTCGTTGACTGTAGAGTAAAGTAGACAGCAAGAAGTAGGAGAGGAAAGAAGAAAAGAGAGAAGAGAGAAAAGAGAGAAAGGCTGGTTCGAATTAGGGAAAAAAGTTAATCCCTTGATTC